GCAAAATTTTTGCCCCGCATACCGATTAAAAACCCGCATACCGATTTTCGTCCGAGACGCGTCCAATGTGCCCTCACATGTGCCGGCCGTCCCATTGTTTACCAGCCAGCCTCCGCGGTAACATCCAAGCATACACTCGGAATATTTCGTATTATTACAGTGTTTTCGGTGGTGTTTCTGGAAAATAAGTGACCATGGGCCCCAAGAAAGCTTCTAGTGCCAACCCTGTGGTAAAAAGGGTGAGAATTAGTATGGAAATTAAGAAAGATTTTGAAGGGTTTGGGGCTAACCCTGAGAAGCCTATGCCAGTTGTGGAATCCATTGTGCCTACTTCAAAGATTAAGGAAATGTGTGCAGAGTGGTTTGAACTGCAAACCTTTATAGATGAAAATCACCCTGACACAGCTGTTGCAAGCCGTGCTGGTGACTATTTCAATGACAATGTTATGGCCCATTTTAGGAAAGTCTTGAAGAAACGGGAGGTACAGAGCTCTATGGACAGATTTGTTGTGCGACAGAGGTCCAGTGACTCTGAAGCTGGTCCTAGTGGCATTAAAAGAAGAAGGGAAGTAACCCAGAAAAGGACTTGCTACCTCAAGTCCTAATGGAAGGGATTCCCCTTCTAAACAGTAAGAAGATAATGCTCTCCCCTCCTCCCATCCCATCAATCATCACCAGATCTTCAATAAAAGTAAGTGTCATGTAATTGTGCATGCCTTTTTCAGTTTGTGTGTATTAAAATTAACATTTCATGTGGTAAAAAAAATTTTTTTTCATACTTTTGGGCGTCTTGCACGGATTAATTTTATTTCCATTATTTCTTATGGGGAAAATTAATTCGCATAACGATTATTTCGCATAACGATGAGCCCTCTTGCACGGATTAAAATCGTTAACCGGGGGTCCACTGTATTTCGTATGAACACGTGAGGGGACAGTCGCTCACTGGTAAACAATGGCACACTGACTGGGAAGGGAGGCTGAGGCGGCTCAGCCGTGAGTATGCATCCAGGACGAAAGACGATTAGCGAGTTAACGGACCATTTGCGAGCCAATGTTTAGACGAAATAACGCGACGATTTCCGAAATGGACAACTTTCAGGCCAGACAATTATTGAGGGACCACTATACAACTATAAAAAAACATGAAAAAACACTGCAAAGTTGCTGTTTTAATCGAAAATTATGGTCTCAGTTTTTTTCCTCTCATTATGTACTGTGTGGTGCAGGATTTGTTTTGTGTGGTGCACACATACCACATAGATGTATTCTCTCATATCTAGGCCCAGATTTACCACTCACTGCTCATCAGAGTGAGTTGAGCTCATGGCGTAGATCTACGGTTTGGACCCTCAACATAAAGCCATAGATCTACGGCACAGACCCTGAAAGGCTTAAAGCACCCCAGAGCAATAAAATACAGTACATTCATTAATTACCTTAAAATATTTGTAGTCTTAATGTAGGGTGAGAGGTGAGTTTTATTTATAGGAAGTCAGGTTTGAGAAGTATGGTAGCCAGCCAGGGCAGCCCACCTCACCCCATGTAATGTAAACAAACTAGGCGAACATGTCTGGTGCTCGTTTGTTTTGTATTATACCATACTACAAACACTTTACATTGTGTACAAGTTGTCTCCATGTTGATACAGTAGAATAAATGAAGGGAAACACTCCCATTCTCATTTAACACCTTTTTAGAAGAAATGACGCCCTGAGTGAAGGCATACGAAAGTAATAATTTTCTAGTTACCCCCAGTAATATTATAGTGTACACATTTTCTCTGATGTTTGCCTGGCTACCACATCTCGTATTTATGTTAATATATTCTACTGTGGGGTGTATTTATCAAGTTTATATGTTACGTAGCGTGTTTATTTTATAATTTTGAAAAAATATCATAGATGGATTAATGGAAATGTCTATCTTAATGTAATATATGACATCTAATGCACCCAAGAGATTTCTTATTATTATTAACCCTTTGAGGGTCGACAGGCCCTCTCTGAGACTCGTTATCAGGGTCGGCCAAAAAAAAAAAAATTTTTTCTTATGAAAAGATAGAGAATCTTTTCCTGATCATAATGACACCAAAAGTACAAAATTTGATGGAAAACTTGCGGAATTATGCTCTTGCGAAGTTAGCAGTTTCGGCGATGTTTACGCATCGGCAATTTTGCCCACTTTGAGCCCCATTTTTGGCCTATTCCACTGTACTAGTCGACAAAAAACATGAATATTTCACTAGAACTCCATTTTTTTCTATAGAATGAGTGCAAGAAACCACCCATTTACCAATTTCAACTATCCAGTACAGTGGTCAGAATTTAGCAATTTTGCCAATTTCACACAAATTTCAAAAGATGCCAATTTCCAAATAGGGTCCAGAATAAACAAGAAAGAAATTCCTGGCACTAAAATGACATTTCCTCTGTTCATTAGTCACGTCTCAAGGCCCCTCTTACATTCTTTTGCTTTCCACTTTGAATTTTTATTCTCACAAAAAATAGAAGATTTACTGTTATGCAGACTACTGCATTAGTGTAAAAAATGGTATAAATAATATTGGCGCAATTGCGAAAGAATACGTATTAGACTCGCCTGTTGATGTATATTGGACGCTTGGCATGATTTGTTTACTTTTGAACTTTGGTAAAAATCGAACATTTCTGCTACTTTGAGCTCAATTTCAAGGTACTTTTCATTGTAAAACGAGTCAAAATCATCTCAATTTCTGTAATATGTCTTCCATTCTATAAAACGAGACCAAGAAAACTAGAATAGAACAATAAATACTATACGAAAATACAGTGCAAAGTCGCCGTTTTATTCCAAAAAAACGGTCAAAGTTTTTTTTTTTCTCATTATGCACTGTGTGCTGCAGGATTTTTTTATACTGTGCACACTGACCACAGACCCATTCTTTCATATGTAGGCCTACCAGCTTTCTCCCACTAGATTTGAGGGCGCTAGAATTTAGACGTACTAGTACGTCAAAAACCCTGGGTCGTAAGCTGTACTAGTATGGCCGAAACCCTCAAAGGGTTAATATGGCATTAAGGGTAGAGAGACTCTTAGTGATTTTAACCCTTTCAGGGTTTTGGACGTACTAGTACGGCTTACGCACCAGGGTTTTTGAAGTACTAGTACGCCTAAATTCTAGCGCCCTCAAATCTAGTGAGAGAAAGCTGGTAGGCATACATATGAAAGAATGAGTCTATGTGGTCCTGTGTGCAGTATAAAAAAAAAATCCTGCAGCACACAGTGCGTAATGAGAAAAAAAAACTTTGACCTTGTTTTTGGATTAAAACAGCGACTTTGCACTGTATTTTCGTATGGTATTTATTGTTCTATTCTAGTTTTCCTGGTCTCATTTTACAGAATGGAAGAAATATTACATAAATTGAGATGATTTTGACTCGTTTTACAATGAAAAGTACCTAGAAATTGAGCTCAAAGCAGCAGAAATGTTTGATTTTTACCAAAGTTCAAAAGTAAACAAATCACGCTAAGCGTCCAATACACATCAACTGGTGAGTCTAATATTCTTTCACAAGTGTGCTGATCTTATTTATATCATTTCTACACTAATGCAGTAGTCTGCATAACAGTAAATCTTCTATTTTTTATGAGAATAAAAATTCAAAGTGGAAAGCAAAAGAAAGTAATAGGGGCATGGGGACGTGACTAATGAACAGAGGTAATATTATTTTAGTGCCAGGAATGACTTTTCTTGTTTATTCTGGACCCTATTTGGAAATTGGCATCTTTTGAAATTTGTGTGAAATTGGCAAAATTGCTAAAATCTGACAACAGTATTGGATAGTTAAAATTGGTAAATGGGTGGTTTCTTGCACTCATTCGATAGAAAAAATGGAGTTCTAGCGAAATAGTTAAAGATTTTTTTTCGACTAGTACACTGGAATCGGCCGAAAATAGGGCTCAAAGTGGGCAAAATCGCCGATGCGTGAACATCATCAAGACCGCTAACTTCGCGAGAGCATAATTCCATAAGTTTTCCATCAAATTTTATACTTTTGGTGTCATTATGATCGGGAAAAGATTCTCTATCTTTTCATAAGAAAAGATCTTTTTTTTTTTTTTTAAATTTTGGGCGACCCTGAGAACAAGTCTGGGAGAGAGCCTGGGGACCCTGAAAGGGTTAATGTGTACCTGCATGCCAGTACAGTGTGTAAGTATATTTAAGTACAGTACACATAAGTATAATTATCAGAGTACATACAAAATATGCAGTAACTTTAAAACACGAGATTTTTGAAAGTTGCCAGACATAATAGAGAGATGTGCTCACGGAGAATGTAAACAAACCGGGTGGGGAGCGCTGTATTAGAAAGACTTGGAGCCATATAGCAAGTTATGGGCATAATTTGAAATCGCCGTATTAGTGAAACACCGTAAAGCGGGGCCCCTACTGTATAATTATTATTATTATTATTATTATTATTATTATTATTATTATTATTATTATTATTATTATTGGGTATCCCTGCCTTTAAGAGGTTGCCTGAATTTTTTTTCTTCTTTCATTTTCCTTCAGCTTTAAAATTTTATTTTGCCTGTAACTTGAGAATACCTCATCCAATCGCCTTTAAATTTTCAACACTTGTGTGTGGTAACAGGGACCAAATTCTTGGAACATTTGGCATGTTCATGTGCCCTATGATCTCAGTTGTTGAAGCCATTCCTGGCATTCTTCATTGGCCCAGATAATTTCCAAAATCCTCACTGGTGTAGTTTCAGATGTTCTTAAAAACGTTAGCCTCCTAATTTGACAATTGTGGAGATAAATTTCAAGTATGTTAGTGTAAACTTGATGACTTTATGTGTAAAATAGTGCTTAATTTTTATTCCGCTAAATCTTGTTTTATTATCGTTAAGTCCTATTAAATCTTTGGCAAGAGTGTCATTAAAAAGATCAATTTAATTTTAATGTATACAAGGAAACTTGCTAAAATTAGAAGACAGTATCTTTGCCCCAGGAACAGGACATGCCCATTGCACAGCTTCTGGCTATGTATGGAGGATATCCACCTGAAGAAGGTGAGGGAGAGGTGGAGGATCAAGCTAATGGAGAGAGGGGAACAAGTCGAAGAGTGAATGTACGTGAAAACAACAATGAGGGAGCAGTAGAGAATGAAGCAGAAGTTGAGAATGAAACAGAGGAGCCCGAAGAACCAGAAGTCATATCCTCAAGATCTTCCACTTCTGAGGAAAATCTAAATAACCATGATAAGGTATGCTATATGAGACTGTAGTTACTTTTTATAATACATACTGTGTGTATGTCACACAAACTACATAAATTTGTTAATTTTATCTGGCATTTGAACAGTATACAGTTCAGAATATGTGTAATGTTTGTTACTTTGTACAGGCTTTTCAGCTGTTAAAATCTTTCAGATCAGCACCAAAATATAAAATATATCTAGTTTTGCTCTGCATGAGTGGAGAACTCTTACCTTGATGTCATAGTTATATTCAAGTGAGAAAAAATGAAGATAAAACAGAGGCAAATAGCATAATGCAGATACAGTAAAGATTGAACAGTTGATCAAGTGCTACTATATGACTTGTAGACCATTAATGAAAAAAGAGGCACTTTCTTCCCCCCCCCCCCCCTATAGATATTCTGCCATGATTAACTTTCACTAATTGATCACAATGCTTTTATTGTGCCTAAATGTAGTAAAACAGGAGAGCTTTACCTAACTTGTCAGGGAAAGTGTTTTGTCATTTGAGTACATTACTGGAATGCCCTGGACTGTAAACAAGCTGTTGGTTGGCCAGCGTGCATTTCACCAATTGCAGTCTTCCTCTTGTACAAGTATTTTTGTAGCTAATATCTCCTATAATAATAACTTGTATAAGAAATACCTTAACTATTTTTGCCTGTGTTTAGATACTTTGCATGAATGTTAAGAAATAAGGAAACAGCTGAGGTTTTCCAAGTACTGAACTACAAACCCCTCAAGTGAGGTGTAACTTGATGCTGGTGGTGAGCTCTTTATCCAAGGAATTTGCCCTATCCTCCCTTTCCTTTCATCCAATCAGTGCTATTTCCCAGGTTCTCTTTGGGTTTAGTACTTTTTCCTAATTTGAAAATTAGTACAATGTAGTACGTATTGGCAGTGTTTGTTATGCTTTAAATATATACAGTTTTGCTGGGACTCATTAGGACCTCTTTAAGTCTTGTAATACATCATTATGCTTGATAAAAAAAAAAAAGAAAAAAAATTAACCTGAACATTTCTCTCAAACAATGTTAATTTAAAAATTCATTTATCTTGATTGGAAGTGTACCAAAAAATTTGGAACCCAGCACACTTACCAAAGATAACTGCAGTATTTTTGATAAACTGAAAATAAACATTACAATGTGTTAGTCTGTTAGGTGAGTAGTGGTTGATTATGTTAATTGCTCTGGTGTGTGGCATGACTGACACTATCCCTCCTTCAATAAGCATGACATAAGAAACACTCATGCATAGATCATAAGAAATAGAAATTAATCAGACAGTTCAGATGTATGCTGGATTGTTGCAGTGGGGTGATATTTGGAGGGGGTGAGGGAGTGTTCACAACTGAGTATGGCATTGTAGTCTTACTGTTAATTTCTGCTGTCTCTCCCTCCTATTTACACCTATCCCTCGTTATGTGCAGGTTTGCTATGTGTAATTTTGCCTATATGCGGTGCACCCTGTTTCTACCAGGAATTCACTATATGTGGTTCATATTCAATCTTATGCAGTCAGTTGCTGTGCACTTTGCAAATGTCAGTGGGGCATTGTGGGAGTGACACCACACATCATCAAAACAACAGATGCCTCATATTGGCATATCTGTAAGACATTCCCTGAATGCTTGCTACTGCAGGTATTATTATGGCTTTGCATCCTACCAAGTCATCTATTAGCCCTGTTCCTGGTCCATAGAAGAAATGCAGGGCTTCTCTAATATTGGAGATGAAGTTGGAGATTTTGAATTGTTGTGATGCTGGCAAGGGGCCAGTTGTTCTTGGGTGTGCATACACTGTTGGCCTGTCACCCATTTACTATTAAAAAAAATACTGAAAGCATTAGGAGCTCTGTACTGAAGTCTATGCCACTTAATGCTTCAGTAACATTCAGAATAAGAAATCTTGAAAAAATGATGGCAGTGTAGGTGGAGGACCAGAACCAGAGGAAAATGAATCTCTGCTCCTTCCCAGTCTTGAATATTAGTCCTTCATGGCTAGAAAGGTCTGTTATGAAAAATTCTTTTGGCATCAAAGCCTTCACAACATTAAAGTGAAAAGAGAATTTGCAGTTGTTGATCATATTGCTGCTGCAAAGTTTCCTAAGAACCTTAAAGCAGTTATAGCTGCTGAGGGCTACAGTCCTAATGAGGTTTTCAATGCAAATGAGACAGGGCTCTTTTGGAAATGGATGCCATCTAGGTCATAGATATCTAGGGAGGAAAAGGTTGCGGTTGTATACAACGTAAAGAAGAACAGGCTCAGTGTTCTACTGTAGAGGAGTGCTGCAGATTTCAAGTGTAAGCCAATGCTGGTGTACCACTCCCTTAACCCACGTGCATTGAAAGAGTCGAGTAAGAACATGATGCCTGTACATTGGGCTGCAACCAAGAAGGGATGGGTGACAGGCCAGATTTTTGAAGATTATTTCATACAGCTTTTCATTGTGGAGGCAGAGCTCCACTGCAGACAGTCTGCCTTAGCCTTTAAGGTCTTGCTCATACTTGCCAGTGCCCCTAGACCCCCTAAGCACCTTGAACATATCCTGAATTTTAGCATATTGTTCCTTCCACCAAACACACTAATGCTGATCTAGCCTCTTGATCAGAAAGTTTCAACATTCAGGGACTGTTACTTAAGGAGGACAATGGCCTAATTGCTGAAGGATACTGATGGCCCTAACAAGCCAACATTTTATGAGTGGTGGAAGTCCTACAATGCTAGGGATGCAGTAAACAACAGTAATGTTTTTTGGGGGACAGTGCAGTCTGCTACCTTGAATGATGCTTGGAAGAACATTTGAGAAGACTGTGTTATGAACTTAAGTGCTTCCCAAAATTGTCAGAGAGTAATAAAAGTTGTTGAGCTTGGATTGAGGGTGGTAAGAGAAGGCTTCTTGGATTTTCAGAAAGATATTGTGAAGCTTATTAACTTCCTTAATGAAGAATTAAATATTGAAGACCTCATTGAGATTTCTACAGTTGAAAAAGAAAAGGAGGAAGAAGAGGATGAAGTGTGTCTTGATGTAAAGGATATGATTATGAAGAAGCTTGGAGAACTGTTTGCACATGCTGAGAGACTCCCAGTTTGCCATGGACATTGACCTTGTCTGGAGAGGAGCCTCAAGTTCAAATTTTGTGTGAATACCCTTAGTGCCTAAAATTAGGTATATGCTCAGAAACAATAAATGGTTAGGCAGACCTCCATGTTGCAGTACCTTCACCCACACCCAGACCCACTCCATCTGAAACTTCTACATCTCCATTTGTGTTGTTTGAAGTTGACAGCTCTTTGCATATGCCTTCTCTTGATGTTACCCTACCTCCTACAAGTGATATGGAGCCTGACCTTGACCACTTTGCTCCATCCTTTCCTCACACTTACTAATCCTTCAGCACCACCCTCCACCTACGCATCCACACGTGCTAGTGTGTCTGCTGCTGTTGGTGAGTACCAGTTCATAATTTTTCCTTAAATGTTTTAGAATCAAATTCATTTATATGTTTGACTATATGATGATTCTGTCATAAAGTCATATTTTTTGGTAAATATTAGTGAAAAAGGGGGAACTTGGCAAAGCTTTGGAGTGAATCTCTATTTATTACATGTTATAGTGGGTTGACTTTATGCATTTTCACTTTATATGCTATAATAATAATAATATAATATAATATATTTATTTACTACAAGTACATGTACAAGGAATGTGGCAGATGTTGCAAGTATATAGAATAGGTAGTAAGTTACTAAATGCTGCAAAGAGTTTTTATGAGAATAGGCTCAGGTTAGTGTGTGTGTAGAAGAGAGGGAGATTACTTCCTGGTAAAAGTAGGTCTTAGACAGGGATGTGTAATATCGCCGTGGTTGTTTAACCCTTAAACTGTCCAAACATATATGTACTTTCTCTTGCGCAGTGCCCCGAATATTTTGAAAATAAAAAAAAATGTTTTTTTTTTCCATTGAAATACAGAGAAAAATTTTTTAAGTGTAATAGGATTAAAATAAAAAAAATTAGGGTCAGTACTTACTGAGATATGAGGCTGCAAAGTTGACACTTAATGCTCGCCTGACGGCAACATCGAGTCCTGCCGCTTGAGGAAGTGTTGCCGATATACCATTTTTTCTCATTTTTATATTATTTTATATAATTTTTATGTTCTGATAATTACAATTTCGGGCGAGATATAAGCGACTATTGGCAGAAAGGTGGGCTAGTGCAAAGATGAGTAGTGGGGGGGGGGGGTTAAAGAGGGTTGGAATAGTTTTAAAAATGCAGTATTAGAATGTGGGGCAGAAGTTTGTGGTTATAGGAGGGTGGGGGCAGGAGGAAAGAGGAGTGATTGGTGGAATGATGAAGTAAAGGGTGTGATAAAAGAGAAAAAGGTAGCTTACGAGAGGTTTTTACAAAGCAGAAGTGTTATAAGAAGAGCAGAGTATATGGAGAGTAAAAGAAAGGTGAAGAGAGTGGTGAGAGAGTGCTAAAGGAGAGCAAATGAAAGAGTGGGAGAGGCACTGTCAAGAAATTTTAATGAAAATAAGAAAAAAATTTGGAGTGAGTTAAACAAGTTAAGAAGCCTAGGGAAAGTATGGATTTGTCAGTTAAAAACAGAGTAGGGGAGTTAGTAGATGGGGAGATGGAGGTATTAGGTAGATGGCGAGAATATTTTGAGGAACTTTTAAATGTTGAGGAAGAAAGGGAGGCGGTAATTTCATGCACAGGCCAGGGAGGTATACCATCTTTTAGGAGTGAAGAAGAGCAGAATGTAAGTGTGGTGGAGGTACGTGAGGCATTACGTAGAATGAAAGGGGGTAAAGCAGCTGGAACTGATGGGATCATGACAGAAATGTTAAAAGCAGGGGGGATATAGTGTTGGAGTGGTTGGTACTTTTGTTTAATAAATGTATGAAAGAGGGGAAGGTACCTAGGGATTGGCAAGAGAGCATGTATAGTCCCTTTATATAAAGGAAAGGGGACAAAAGAGATTGTAAAAATTATAGAGG